AAGGTTGTGTTAGTAACGCCTTTACGTGTTGGCGTTAGCGACACGTTCTAGATGAAATCTCGATTAAACAGTAGCTTGTGTCTTACCTTAAAGATTCCTATCCTTTCAGGAGTAAAGGAAAATCAATGATACATCTTCAAAGATCATCCAACCTTAGGTGTAAGGTAAAAAATGTCCTTCCATCTAAGGTTAACTCTCTCTTCTTTTTTCCATCTTGCTGCCAGTTTAAAACCATTTCACTTACCATTATAAATGTTCTCTTATAAACGATTATGAATAAAACTACGATAGGAAAGAAAAAATAATATATTCAAATTTTATGCATAAATTTGAATATTTTTAATTTTCTATAAGAATGAAGGGGAAAACACGGTTTCTACAACTGCTATCATTAATATTTTCCGTTTGAAGAAAAATTTCGTGCAAATTTTCATACGGTAAAGTCCGATAAGTGTTAACCTAATAAATCTAGTAAACAATTTTGACGTCCGTCACGCTTCCGAACTTGTCACGTTCGTCACGCTTCCGAACATATCACGAGATGACAAGGAGCGGTCACTCACCCAGCAACTCTATTCACAAACCGCTCCACGCCTCTGCGACCTCGTGGTGACCCGGCACGTGACTCTACCCCTTTTTACATCCCGAAATGCCTCGACCCACCCTCTCTCCAGTACAGTACAATTTACCAAAGCTGTGGGACCTCGTGACAGATGCTCGGATGTCTTATTGTAGTAAGCTCGAATGTCTGCAGGAATTCCAATGGTAACGTGCAGATGGTGATCGTTAAACAGCGCATAAGAATGCAGAGAAGTCGTGACGTATAACCAGTTGTAAACTGCAACACTTGTTCCTCTTTTTTTTTTCTTTATGCCCGTTTTGGTGAATAAATATTCTTCCCGAGGGAAATGTTTCCTTTCTGCTAACATCGCAATAATCTCTTAATAAAGTCGACGGCAAATTTTATTACTCGGATACAATTTTATTGTTAACTTGTTGCCCGCTGCAGAAAATATATATTAAAAATAAGCAGTGGTGTTTTTTTCAGAATTAAAGAAAATATACATCGAAATTCGATTCTTCTCTTCCTATTTCTCTTATAAAACTTGGAATCAAATATTTGTAAACTTCGTAACAAAACAAATATTTGTACTTCAAAGGACTAGAGAGAGAGAGAGAGAGGATATCTTCACAGTTAAATATTTACAATTGTTTACACGAAAAATAAAAATACTCTATGCACAGATTTTAAGTGGTTTGACTACATTTATGAAGATTTCAGTATGACCACATCAGGTTCTAACAAATGAAATTTATTAAGCCAGCAAATCTATTAAAATAACTGATGAAAGTGTTTTCGACTCCATAAATTATATCTAAATAAATAACCCGGAGGAAATTTACCATCTGCTCTTTTAGAATAATTTTAAAATTAAAGTTTCCTCATAAGAAATCCAATTTTCCATACGTAAATATGCATTTTATTCGTTTAATTTTACACTCCGAAGTTATGTAGAAGAGGAGACTTGTTGCTCCAGATTTAAAAAAAAAAAAATGTATTGTGTGTAGCTTTACAACAGCGTTTAATTCTAAATGTTAATGTTATCAGACTAACATAGTACGGGTCAGAAAGACAATCTAGCTCATTGGTATCTCTTATCCCCTGTGGGATTACCTTATCGGAGTGTCCTCTCCGTCTAGTCAACGAGTTAGTGGTTCAGTCATTGATCGTCTTTGTAATGTGTGGTGCAGCTGGGAGATATAAACAGGTGAGAGTGCTGAATAAAGGGAAAACTGTTGAGTTCTACGACATCGTTGCTGTAGCAAAAACGGAAAAAATATGACTTTTTTATTCTTTAACCCGGATGTTAAAGGTAAAGATATTTTCTTTGGTGGTACCACACGTGAAAAAAGTAAAAGTTTTATGACTAAACTATTACGTTATTTCTCTCGAAAAACAGGTATTTTTCTGATATGAGGGGTGAAATATGCAATTGATTGATCAATTTTACTAAAAATAGTAATCATTTATGCGTTCTTACGAAGCTGTCTATATGGGTTTATTCGGATTCACCAGTGGCCGAGTGAACACTGGTCGTGGGTTCGTACCTCTCCAACCGTCTGGACACGTGGAGTTTTCCGGTTTTTTCAGGTTTTTAACACCTAAATTGGAGCCAGTTTCCCGGAAGACATCGTCCGCGATGCTATAACCAAATAAACCTAAACCAAACTATGAATTTATACGAAGATATTTTCAATTCCCCCGCAGACTCCCCCCGACTGAAATGCTAAACTATGAACTACTTTAACAACAAACTAAAGCATTTGAATCTCTGATTAATTCGGTGTCATCGAGCTATAACATGGCAGCCGTCAAAAGACAAAAGCATAAAAAAACAAAAAAAAAAGTAGAAAGGGGTTCGTACAGTGAAGATGACAGCTCTTATTGTACTCTCTCCCGAACTATGATCAAGAAGAAGTGAATATTTTATTAGGATAGAAGATTTTTATTAATTCTCTGATATAATAAAAAAAAGTCGGTTATATTAATAAGAAGGGTGAAGTATAGGACGTTCGAGTTGACAAACACAAATTACGAATGACGTAAATGTTTAATTTTAATTATTTTTACTTTTTAATTAATATTTAGAAAATACTAATTACGATAAACGTATTTTTAATATGTTTAAAGTTTACACGCTAATTAAATATATTGGTAAGAGCGGAATAATATGATACATTCGTGTTATCGGCTCCTATTTACTAACACGAAATAAAATATTAAAGTCGATATGAATTTTTTATAACAAAGATATGAAATATCACACTTTTTTTTGTACATAAATTATATTTTCTTAAATTTTTTCCCATTATAACGTGGCTATTCGCCGTATCGATTTGCGCCTAGAAATTCCCAAACTGTGATAGCAAGTTTACTGATATGTTGCATCTATGATACCTATTTTGAATCTATAACAGGGAAGGAGAGAAAAAAAAGGAGAAGTGAGTTTAGAAAATAAATTTCTATTTATCATTTTCGACGTGAGGTACGTTACCATCTCTCCATAAAACTTCTAGATCTGTGGAAAAATGGCTGGGAGCAGCCCAAAGGGAATAGCGCGTGTTGTCACAACTTGGTATATTCAAAAGAAAACAAAACATCAAAAATATTTTTGTTTTCCAGTTTCTTCTAGAATTATACATTTAATATTTTATCTGTAAACATATCGTCACAGTAGGGAAGAAGAAGAAGAAGAAAATAATCTGTTATGGTATGTTTGCTCATTTTCATTGCTGTCTTTTTCAATTTTCGTATTCCTTTATTCAATTCTTTCACATTGCGGTGTTTCTTTCTTTTTTTTTATCCTTTTTTTTCTAGTGGAAATTTTCTTCGATTCCCATTCCGAGCAATTGACAACGAATGTGGTAGAACTCGCTGACACAGAAGTTGATGCATTTCATTCATTTGTCAGCACTTGGCGAACTTTCAGATCGATTGTTTTCAAATTCTCCATCCTCGCCACCATTTGAAAACTTATACCGACCCATTACAGTTTAATGTTTTTTTCCAAGTTTTTTGGCAAAATTCGTGAAATGGCACCACCATTTTTAAAGATCTTCTTTCGTTTTTTTTTTCTTTTTCTTATAATATCATTGAAAAGATTAAAATATATAATCTTTTCTTCAATTCACTTAACGCTTATTTTTTTTTTATTATTGTATTCATTTCACGCCATTTTAATCAAGTAATTGGGCTGCAAATTTCATATTTCACACCCGATCTAAATGGATGAAAATCAAGAACAAATATAAACTTACGAACCGAACACCTCGATTAACTATTGTATATATAAACTTTCGGTCTTTTCGGTCATAATATACATTCTANTATTAAGTTATGTTCAAAATTTAATTATTTCCAGATGAAAATGTATAAAAATTAAATAAAAACATGCATATGAGGAATTTCAGTTAACTTTAAAAGTATTATAAGAGTTCGCGAGTTTGAAAACTAATTTTTTAAGAAATTAGTATGATACAGAAAAAATTCCAATTAAAACATTTCACATAAAAAAAACTATCCTCGTTCAATTTTACAAGAAAACTTTACAGATGAGAACACTTAACGCCTTATACTTCCATCCAAATTACAAATTTAAAAAAAAAATTAAAAAATTAAAACAAACTATCATTACCTATCTAAAATTATCGATTCTGCTTTTTTATAAAATATATTTTTTTTAATATTTTTTTACAAACAAACACTATTTTACTTATAGAGAATGTTTTTATACAAATTCTTTTTTTATNAATATCATTATTCATATTTATTCGGCGAAAAAATGTAAAAATAAACAATTTATAATTTTATTATTAAACTTTTATAAGATTTTATAGTTTACCTACAGGCAAAATAAGAATTTCTAGTTGATATCACCCAAAGGTATACTACATAACTTATAAAATTTTTAACTTAATACAACTCTATTTTATAAGCTGTAACCTAAACTTTTTCACAATTTATAAGGTATAGAGCATCTGTATTTTTTATATTTATATAAATATACAGTATTATACGTAGACATTTTAAAAATTGAATTTCTTTAATAAAATTTTTAACTCGATTTGCTGTTAAAAAATTGAAGCCGGCTACTTTTCTTCTTTATAAATAAATTTTTCAGTTTATTCTACACATCTCAATCTATTTAATTACTCCTATTTTTTTGTTTTTTCAATTCCATTTGTTTTCCGTAGCTTGGTGGCATCTCGTATTGTTGATTAGATTAATATAATTATGACGAGTAACAGTGGAGTTTTTTTTAATTAAATCCCCAGGGAATGACAATAGACTAATAAGCAGAAATTTAGCACAGAATTTGTACATTTCTATAATTATTTTGATGGTGGAGAAGAGGAATGAAAGAACCAAACAGACAAGGAGATTTATACCCTTCGTGTCATACAAAGCAATAATACAAGTGCAAATTGTTTTAGGGAAGTTTTATTTTCTAAAGTTAAAATGAAATATTCACAAACACCTATTGAACCGGTGCTTTTAGAAAAAAGAAAGACAAAAATGAAGAAGCGTATTAGCCATGGAATAATCCTTGGTATATACTTTATAGTGCATCAATCCATTTCTTCTTTCACCACACTGTATTTTTATATTAAATTGGGTATAGGACCGTCGTCATGGTTACCTAGCACAAAGAGAGGATTTTCTAGAAGGTAGGAGTTCTCTACAGTACTCTGCAGGGGGTTGAAGAGGATTTCTTTACAGCCTTGCGACAAAACTGTCATACGTTCGGAGGAGCTAGAAGGTGAATGGTGAATTCCATCTACATTGGCTACCGCGCGACGACAATATGATGTATGTCCGGATGTCCAGCTCCTGTTTTCTTTTCAGATACTTTAAAAATGGCTAGAATTCAAAATAAACAGATGTAAGTGGCAGAACTAGATTTTCACTTGAAAGGAGTCGAAATTCTTTTATCCCTTTTTTTGCAAAAGTATGAATAAACAAATTTCTATTTATAAAATGGGCCAATTTAAAAGTTTTGATTAATTACCATTAGTTTAGAATTAACTAATCATTCGTTAAATACGCTGTTAAGCGCTCGAGTGGAATGCTTAAAATGAAATGAAATTGTTTTNAAAATTAGAGGGAGAATGCCAGTTATTTCTATGCCAACCACCAAATCTTGAGTTTCTTATCGGATATATTTATTTTTTAAAAAGTGCAATAAATTAACTAGAAAAAAATAAATTAATGTTTTATACCATTTATTTGTCCTATTTTCGAAATAGAAATATAAATCAAATACAAAATAAATTATTGTTATATATTATCAAATCTATCAACTCAATATTGTTAATTTACATATTAGTTTCTACATATATTATGTTTATATTAACATAAAAAAGCTAAATTTATCGAATAAAGGAAAAAATATGTATATATGTGTGTAATGTTTGATATTCTCGAAACTTAAATAAATATAAAATTATCCGATTTAATAAGTTAACAATATTGTTGTCAATATAAACTGACTTATTTCTAATTCTAGAACATATAGTAAATAATAAATTACAGTTTTTCAACTGAAAGATGTATGATAACACTAAGAATGAGAAATGATAAGTGTATACAGTACAGATACCTCTTATGATGTTACAGATGCAATATAATATAACATTTCATTTTAAAAGTGTTCGAAACCTTTCTGAAACAGAAGTGTTTTATACATGATTCTGCGATAAGAGTTTTATCAACTTTATTCTACAATAAGGTATTCTAGATTCTTTGACTAGTAGGAAGCCACGATTCCAAACCCGTGTATTGATCGTTCGATGTATTTTGTTTTTTCCCCCTTTTTCTTTTTTTCGCCCTCTTTTCCAAGCTCAGTGATGTACCAACCAGAGGGTTTGGCTAAATTACCTTTTGCAGTGACAGCACATTTCGTCCAGTAGCAAACCGAGATTTTTAGAATTTTCTTCTTTTTTTTCCTAAGTTCTACGTGACTTGCATGCTTTTCGTGTAACTTTAGAAGACTCAAAACCTCAAATTTCTTCGAATAACGTCACTTTTTCTAATGCCATTCAACCTCTTATTTAGTATGGAACATACTTTTACCTCATCATCTGCTATTTTTCTTATCGCTAGATTGATAGTGTTCCTTAATGGATAAATAGCACGATATATGAGAAGGTAGATGATGATTCGAAATAGTAGAAAGACATATACTCTACTGTATATCCAATATATTTGATACATAAGTAACATAAAATATGTCGAAAGCATAATGTATAATAGATTTCGTTATATTATTTATAACGAAAAACGGCAACGTAAAAGTTTGATAATATCAATAAATTGCTAAAAATAATATTTTAAAAACAAACACTATAATTGACATGGAAGCGATAATATACGTCTGTATATTTAGTAAAATTTCAAATATAGAAGTGACTGTGTGGTTAGAAAATTAACAAAACACAAACAAGCAGGAGATACTTCTTCAATATTTGCATCACTAATATTATCTTTCAGTTGTAAATTTTTGTAGAGATTGCAGCTTTTTTTCCTCCCTTCTTTCTCGTGTTCTGTGTACAAAAGGGGGTAGTGGCGCTTGTCAAAATGTTTGATGTATGGGATGTGCACCGGTTGCCATGGTAGCATGTCAAAAGTACACCTTCCGTGTTTCTTTAGAAATTATCAGCTATCAATATATGAATTTTGAGCCTTTTAAATTATACACGTCAAACTTTATGTATTAAAAAATAAAATAAGAAAAATAAAGCAAGAATAAAATATAAATTGAATTAAAGATTGGCAATATAAAGAAACGGCTGGTTGAGGGAAGTTTGTGGTCAGAAGGCAGAAAAGGTACTTTCCGAACTCATTTATTATGCAGTACCACCTCTCGAGTTAGGAAGAAAAAGATAGGCAAGATTTACTGGTGCTGACAACGTAATTACTGACGTCACAGTATCTAAGCTACGTAAACGAATAGAGTTTTGTAAAGGCAATTAACCAACTGGTGTCTTTTCGATGTTCGAAAGTAGCGTGTATGGGCTTATTGTTTCTTTACACTTAGTTTCTTGTCCGTAATGAATTTTAATAGTGACTTAACCCCCTCGCGTGACATTCTGGTTCCTAGATGGATACTAATTAATACCGCTTAACGAGTTGGGAATTCTTGTGGAAAAACACTTTTTGGAAGAGTGATGAGAATATTAAGTACGAAGCCTCAACCGGAATTTAGTCATTTTATAACGTAAATTACACAATTTACTTCCGATTTACTCGATTGAGAAGATTGTATTCAAAATTTGAATGACAAAAGAGCGGTCAGTGCACTTGTCCTTAATTATGGAAGAGTGAAAAAACATTCTTGAAACTGTAACCGGTATCAACACAAAGCTCTTAAACAAGCACAAAGCTTTTGTAAGAACGAGAATCAAAAGCTCTACTATTATCTAACAAGTAGTGCTTTTCGTGTCGAGGAAGATCCAATCGTGTTCGTATAGTTAATCGTTGTCACTGAAGAATAGAAATGGGAGGAAACGGCAGTCATTCACCTAAAAAAACCACCTATACTTATTGTAACAGATGACCCTACATACTAAGCTAGAAATGGCAACAAACTATACCCACCTGAAAGGTCGGAGGGCAATGGGCACGAGGTCTGGGAGGGTAGGAGCGCTCTCGGAGTGACCCCCTTAATTTTCTTACCCACAACCCTGACGACTTGGTCATTAGGCTGTGTCAGCCACTCCTCTGCAGCTCTCGGGTCACGTGTATGCTCCAGAACGTGACTCCGGCAACTTCACCCCACCTGAAAAACCGATGAAACTTGAAAGTAAAGATTGTTACACCTGCATTCTCTATTCTGATTTAAAGGAGAAAGGGGAAAAAATTACAAAACGACTTTTGAAAAACCATCCTTTCACTTCGATTGGGAAGGGATTATTTAAGTAAAAAAATGAAAATAAAAAAATATATTTCGATTGCTAGGAGACATTTTACTGTAGTATTGAGATATTGATTTGGAATTTATTTTATTTTATCTCTATGGCTATGAATGGGAAAACGGGAGCAATTAAACACAAGAGCCAGGTAGAAGAGAGAAGTTCGTTCTCTCGGAATTAATCTCTTCTCTTTTTGCTTAATCTAGATTTAAACTACTGAAAGAATTAATTTTAAGAACAAATTACTTTTTCTCTCTATAATTTTATCTTGCTTAAATTTAAAACAAAGCAAATTTTTTCCCTTTTCAATTGTTTTTTTACGTATAAATCCCGAGGAATAATTCTAGCAAACTTTAATTAAAAATTAATAAAGTCGAAATTAATATTTGAATCCCTACTTTTCTTGTGTTTTTTTATTATTGTTGTTGTTCTTTTCTGTACATAAAACCATACTTTCGAAGCAAAACCAAGCGAATTTAAACCGTTTACCTATAAAAAGATATCAAGTTTAGTACTTTATTGATTCTATTTCTTCAAAGATTTATCTTTAACTAAATTCTAATAGTCTGGGAATTTCATTTTCATGAAAGAAAGCAAATACTTCCTTTGATTCCAAAAAAGAAATTGATCTTCTGAGTAAAACTGAAGAGAGATTGTTTCTTCAGACAACGGAACTATCTTGGACCCCAAGAATAAAAAAGAATCTAACTTGAGAATGTTTCCAGTTCGTCCGTCTGGCTGGATGTTTTGTCTTTGTAGTGGATCTATTGCCTGCCAACACCACTTACAGCCTACATTTCTCTTTCTTCTCTCAGATGGGAATTTGCACTTTGGCTCCCAGCAATTGCTAGGAAATAGCACTGATGTATCGATGCATATGACAAGCCTCTGCTCAATCTTGCAAAGGCTACTAAATAATTTTATTATACTTTTATTCAAGCCGGTTTTTAAAAGGTTACAGACAATTCTAACCCTTAACGATATAATGCATTTTAATCATGTTTTTCTGAAAAATATTTTAGGCGTATTCATGCAACTACAGAACTGGTTCTTTAGAAATCTTCTTTCATTTCTTTACACTTGAATTTATTTTTAAACTTCTATTGTTACGTTTATTTCTGCGAGTGGTGATGTTGTATTAAAAATTTGGCAGGTGTAGTCTTCGTGCGATTTTCTATTTAAAAATTGCCCGAGGTCATTGATCCCTTTCATTGCATTATTCTTCTTGCGCTTTTTTATTTGGCTTAAACTTCTGTATTGTAGGTTCTATGTTACTTTCCTGACTGTTATAGGCTATAACAGAGGGAAAGTATGGCGATCGGTCAAAAACTTGCACCCCAAGATCTTACATTTTTGAACTCGGGGGACCTTGAAAGTGATTTTTCTCTCTATGTATGTATGTTAGTATGTTTGTAAGAGGCACAATTTTTTTCACCCACTTTGAAACTTAATAACTCCTGTGCCTTTGGTCGAAAATTTCTGAAATTTTGCATGAAAGTTTGTGTGTTAGGGCAAAATGCTTCTAGGAATTTTCAGGAAAATTGGACCATTGATTCGGGAGATATAGCCCTACCCACTTAATATCTCCCGAACAAATTTGAAAGACTTAAAGATAATGGTAGCAATTATCAGGGATGGAAACAAATAAAGAATGCCGGAAAAATCCAGAAAAAAACGTTTCCAGCTTTATATTTAAGAAATTGCATTTTCTTAGTTGCACTTTATTGGAATTATTCACTTTATTTGAAGTTATTCGCTGCTCTTTACTCGAATTATCGTTTCGAAGAGAATTTACTAATTTATAAATAAACTATAAATGAGAGGACGTATTAATCTGTATAATCCCTTAATTTTAACAGGATTATTCCATCGGTTAAATAGAGACAGGTAAGACCCTGCACCGATGTGAGCAACAGCTTGCATCTTGTTGCTTACCGAGAATCTTTGCTTCTGATCTGTTAAACATATTAAAACTCACCATCCAGATATTTCTCTGTCAGACAAACAATAGTATCGATTCTTAGTAAAACAAACGCATGGGGGGGATGGGAAGGAACAGCTTGCCTGATTCTGACTGGGTCTGTCAGGTGTGACACTCCCTACTAAATTGATTCTTACTTAATGGCTGTTTAATGGGCAGAAAACCAACATTCACACAAGCTGCAGGTATCAGCTGCTAATGGAGGGATTAGATACTACTACTCTTCCAACCTTTTCAGTTCTACAACTATTTCAGCCTATTCAACCTGTATCCCGTAAAAATACACCAGGGTGCAGATTTTTTTCCTTTTGCTACTCTTAATCCCTCTGACATATCTTCCTATTGTAGATCTATCATACCGACAGCTGCATTAACAATCTCCCTCTCCATTTCGTTCTTTGTTTTCTTTTTTCTTTTTTTTATAGTTGCATTAGGAAGGAAGCTAAGGATTTGCGAATTGTGACTCATGGAAAAATCAATAGAGTGGAAAATAATGCAGTTATGAAATTATAACTTTCGAATTCATGCCTAGAGAAAGTAACTTGTCATGTCTACTTAAGTTTATAATTTAAACATGTTTGCTTCGTGAAAAGAACCATTTCCTCTCCCTGTGAAATATTTTATTAGATAAGAAACAAAGATTAGACAAATAACGCGATAGATCAACATTAATACTTTATTCTAATGATCCGAAGGTGTTGAGCACGTTTCTGGCTGAAGTTTGGCTTGTGTCGTGATCCTCTGGTCCACAACAAATTTGATTTGATTCCATTCGGAATGATTTACAGGTTGTTTGGCTTTAATGATTTTTCTGGGGCTTAGAAAAAAACAATGTAAATCGTGATAAAATTAGTTTTGACAGATCCAATCTTTTTAAAACTGTGCCAGAGGGTGCAATTGTTCAAGTCATTTAATACTTTTTATTTCTTTGATTTGTTAAACGCCAACTCACATATATTGCGGATTAAAAGTGCAAAAAAACCTTGTACTGACAGTGACCAATCTATCAGTGAATCTACTACTTTCTCCACCCCCGAGTCTGTCAGGTACGTTAAGGGTGGAGGCACTATACTTCTGACAGCACAATATGTGCCTGATGTTACTCTGTCCACGTGATGTGCATAGTTTCACTTGTTTACTCAGCGGGACTGCCGCTAGAGGGCGGGGGTGTGCACTGCTAGGTGGCGATGTGCATGTGGCAACTACATAGCGCCACCACGTGGGAAACGTGTCTAATTAACACAGTGGGGTGCGGTTGGTCGAATAGACAATATGTATCTTATTTAAAAGGATGGAATGTGTTTGACCCTTGAACAACGCTCTTCTTATTATTATAAATACAAAAGCTGAACTAAATGAAGCTGACAGTCGAGGGCTTAAATATTAAAGCAAATTACAAATTCTTATGTCATTCATTATTTTCGTAACAATTTATGTTCGGTTTGCTTCCTGTGTGTTTAAAAATCCAAAATGAACCATTTAAATTTTTTTTCTGGTTAAATAAATACTTTCTATAAAGTAGAAAAATTAATTTTACGTATTTTAAATCTAATTTAAAAACTTAATTTTATTTTTAAATAAAAGAAAACTAGCAAAAATCTTCAGTATCTTGCTAATGTAAACTTTATTTGTTAAATGACATATAATAAAGCCTTATACTGTAATATATACAGAACAGGTTTTAAATTAAATAATAAAACCATTCATAATATATAAAAATTAAGTCATCATAATTAAAATCGTGATTTTATCAAGCGATTTGTTACGATAAAACGAGCGGTGTGCTATTATAGTAATAAAAACAACAGTAACAGTAATTGCACGCGCAAATTAATTCAAAGTTATTCTCCTTTAAACGTAGTAACTACAGCTTTAATTTATTCAAACAAATAAAATTTTTATTCTTATATAAAGAGAACATTCACCCTTTAAAGGACGACTCGAGAATTAATCGCTACTCTTGACATTCCATAAGATTTTTTCTTTTTCTTTTTAAAGAATGTATACAACTTTTAATTGCACATTATTATGGGCCTGTAAATATTTACTTTTATATTTTCAAATCTAAAGAGAATCACAATTCTTCTTATCCACTAAAGAATTTTATCTCTCGATCGATCTGGGCTTATAGAAAACTTTCGAAGTTGTTTCCTTTTCTTTCAAGACTTCGATCGGTATATAATTTTTCTATAAACGTTCAATAAGAACAGATTGAGTGGATATCCCCTTTACCTTCTAGATTTATAGATTAAAATTATCTAAAAGTTTAATGCTTTTTTATATCAATACAAAAAGAAATTAAAATCGCTCCTGGATAGGGTATTATAAATTAAAAGGTGATACTTTAAAAAATAATAATAATTCTTCTAGACTTGTTGACAAGGTTTGACAGTCTCTCACTTTCTCATTTTTATCAGTATTCAGGTATTAATTTTTTTTTCTTGTTTTTTTGGAGGATGGAAAGGGGCAACGGTAGTCGACAATCGTGTTAGGGAACTTATCTCATTTGATATATATGCCTAGACTTTATATATACTGAAGACGAAATTAGTTGCAGTGATTAATCTATAGCTGCCGACGTCCACATCAAGATGGAATGTACCTCGGGGTCTTTCTAACCTTCATTAAACTTTAAGACTGTGTGACAACTTTATAGGAGAAGCGCCGTGACGGTCGCACTGTTTTCTATGAGATAAGATCGCCATCCGAAAGAGGGACAGTCAATTCATTACAATATAGAGAAACCTTCTCAACTTCTACACGATAACATCTCGGACTAAATATTAAATCTGCCCGGAGATTCCGGGGAAACAATTACGGAAGGTGTTTTACGATGGGTTTAAGTTCAAAAATGGACAATTTTATAACAGTTGGAGATAATTTAGGGAGGATTCGTCTTTATTTCCTCGCGTTTTTCCCCAAAAAAGCGAAGGGTGTGCGCCCCGTTAAAAAAAGAAAGGAAGGGAGAAAAAAATTGCAGAGTTTAAAGTGCTTTAATCAGCCGTCCCATCGCTTGTCTTGAGTGATTTGTAGACTTGGCGCTGTGTGGCTGTGGCGATGGTCCCTCTGATCGTAAATCTCCAAAGCGGCGCCACGCAGAGGCATAAACACAAACAATGACGTGTAATGAATGATAATTACCGAATAAGAAATCTAACCTTTCACACGATTCTTCCATACTAATTGCCCGTTGAACCGAAGCAAAATTTATTTTTTGGCTAAGAAAATAAAAAGATTGCCTGATGTTTCTAAGTAGGCCATATCTTTATTTTGACTTTACGCTATGAGAGGAATCTAGACCCTAAACTTCGGTCATTTCAACTTTCCCTGTTCTTAATTTAAAATAATCTTGACTTACATCGTGTAAACTCTTCGTAGTCGATTCTTTACCATAAAATCGGAATTAAATTGCATTAATAAAGTTGAATTAAGAAGAATTTGCGAGAATGAATGATAAACGAAGAGAAACCAACCCATGAAAGGTATAGTAGAAGAGCTATTCTTGGCATAATAAGCGAGGCAAATCCCGAATTGAGTTGGCTATTTCCATTTATTTTTACTGAATATAAAATATGAATGAGAGTAGGGAATAAAACTGTTATTTTCGTAATGTTTTTACGAGACCTCCACACAAAAAAGAAAAGAGATATTTTCCTCTCGGCGGGTTATTCCTAATTCAGCAGTGTATACGGATATAAAGGTTGCATGTAAATAATAGCATGTTTATTTACCTAATCTGTATTCCATTCTTGCCTAACATTCAAGGCTGTTTCAATAAGGTAGGACTATTACACGCGCAGCGGGGGTGGCTCTCTTCTCTAAAGGAGGCCTCCTATCTCTTCGATGCCGCTCTACATGACGGATTTTTAACAATCTTCCATACTTTACCCGGCAAAAGG